CCCATGAGATGGAGGGAGTATTTCGGATACGCTTCCCGAAACGAAAGTGACAAAGGTGGGGTAGAAAATCGACTTGGAAGGGGGGAAAGTCGCCTTTGGGGGTAGGGTGGGGTAGGGGTGGGGGGTGGGTGACTTGGGGGATGGGTGGGGGTTGGAGATGAGATGATGTGAGACTGTTTCTGATCGTACTGAGCAGACAAGGTGATATAAGGGGGATACGAAGAGGTGCAAGAGACGAGGAATATCAGCAGGAAAAGAGGCGTCAAAAGGGGCCAACTACTATACACATCTTGTAGTTCACCCTCCATCCCTCCCTTCAATGATGATTTGCATCCTTGGCAAAACAAAGAAACATGCATCGAGAAAGGAATTCAGTCATGTACATACATTGTCGTCGTTGGTCATGTTCGTCGTCGTCGTCATTGTCGTGTCACATGATGAGACTGGGTGGTACGGTGAAACAGGTGGAAAGGGATATGATACAAACCACCTACGAACCAGCCACGCTAGGTGGTGAAACGGCAACTTCTTTCCTCCATTCATCTATAGCTTTCTCAGCTTGCCCTGGTGTACCCACCCCGACCATTGGCATCCCTCCTACGCCAATGTCCATGTTCATGTTCATTCCCGGCATCCCTCCCGCCATACTCATCCCAGGCATCCCCATCCCCACACCCATGCCCATCCCAGGCATCATAGGTATCGGCATACCCATCATCGGTATCCCAGAGTACCCCATAACAGGCATATGTCCCGGCATACCCGACATAGCTGACATACCTGCCATTCCAGAATGACCAAAATGAGGAAACACCTGAGGAGACATGTTAGACAAACGTTTGATCCCTAATGGTATATCATCATCTTCCTGACAAGACTTCAACACGTGTTTTCGTAATAAAAGAGGGACGTCATCGTCTTCTCCGTCTTCTCCTTGTACTGTGGGTGTATCGAGTTGACCAGTGGGAAGTGTAAACGATTGCGAGTTGGGTAGGTTAAAACATTGCCCTTTTGATGGACTGAGAGAATTCGATTGATCACCAATGTATTGTCCATGACCGATAGGAGACTTTGTAGGTGATTTGAACCTGGACAAAGGAATATCACCGTCTTCCGAACTATCCTCTTCTACCTGTACTTTCCTAGGCGTGATTTTCGATAAAGGAACGTCTTCTTCATCATCATCACTTTCGTCTTCTTTATCTTCCTCGGCTCCGTCCCCTTCATCGAAAGATGCATCAACTAAACCTCCAGTTTGGATCTTCAAATCGAGAGGGGAGTGTTCAAGGTTTGATTCGTTTGGTCCAACGAGTCCGGCATTCGGACCCGGAGTATTGTCTTCTTCAGCTGGAAGCGGTTCAAGAAGCGATGTACGGTCTTGTTGTTCGTTCAACAGATCATCCATGGGAACCAACATCTCATTCTTCGACGGTGTGATATTCATCTGAGAATTTGATCGTTTCCCTTCCACACCTTTCCCTTATTCTTCTGCCTTTACGTTTCAACTCCAAAGCCGCCATACGAGCTTTCTCAGCTTCCTCTCTCCCTTTCTCTTCTTCTTGCATAATCTTCAATTTGGCCATTTCTTTCTCCCATATCTGATCCACACCAAATACACTACGTGATTTTGGGATACGTTGACCTGGGTCTAGGAGGGAATTGCGATTATCTCCGGGGTCTACATACGAAGATCGTAGGTTGGGATTAGAATCGAATTGTAACAAGGGACGAAGAGAGTCGCGTCGATCTCCGGGAGGGTGATTGGGGGAAGAAGGGGAGGGGATGGCGGACTGAGGTGAGGGAAGGGAAGGTCGGGACATCATCGATGGTCTGGAATCGCCCGTGAAAACTCTGAGTGTCATGGATTATACCTCATCGCAGAAGATATTAAGTCATGATGGAGAGATGGACAACGACACAATTGTGGTCATGGGGCAGCTGTCAAATCAAGGGCGATGACCGGAGAGAGTGAGATGGGAACGAGAGCTCAACATACCTTTGTTTACCCTTGATGGCTTGTTTCCGAGCTTCCAGTTGGTCCATCAAGCTTGTTCCCTGATATCAACGACGTCCCCAGTCTCACAAGGGATAAAATCCAGACGAGTGGGTGATGATTGACGACAGTGAAGAGAGGAAAGGGAAAGTGATCAACTCACATATAGTTTCCCCGCCTTTCTAGGTCCTTCCCATTCTTCCATTCCTCCCTCTCTCATTTCCCCAACACCGTCAACTTGATCCCCTTCGATCCCCTCACCTCCAACGCTCATAGGTCTGGAGAGATCAAACAAAGGCTCAAGATTCATACTCTGTCTAATCTCCTTCTTCCCCCATCCACCATGTTCGATACCCAACAATATACTACTCCTTGCTTGAGCAGGTAAAGGTTTTTCCCCCAAAGTCCAACCTTCTGGCACTTTTTCAACTTTTGGTGGTGGTTCACTTCCTCTCAACGGGGCGGGCAAAATGAGAGTTTTCGGTCTTAACAAACTGTGTCGAGTTGGGAATTTCGGCATGGATGAATAACGTGATGGTTTTAAAGGTTTACCATATTCTTCAGCAGTTGGAATATCATCGAAATTCTTACTCTGTCTAAGCATATCAAGCAATCTTCTTTCTTCTTCTTCTGGTGAAAAGATACCTGTCTGTTGTGAGATCACATCTTGGGGGATGTTCGACATCTTATTGAGGTCCATAGAAGATCTGTTATCATACTGTTGAGTTGAAGTTGATGGGAAAGGAATAGGAGTAGAAGAATGATTCGACATTGAAGTACTTGATCTCCTCTGAGCAGCTAAAACTTTCGGATCAAACCTTGATCCTAATTCCAATGGTGGAGCAGGTATAGCAAAAGGATTCTCTTCCACTTGTTCTCTTTCTTCTTCACGATGAAAAGTAGGACTGAAATTCCTACTCATAGAAGATAATGGTCTCATTTGTGACATTGGTGATTCAGGTAAAGGAATCATGAGAGGATGAGGATCCGTATAATTCATCGATAACCTACTTGTAGGTCTTAATCTTTCCATAGTACCAGTCGGGGAAGTAGGTAATGGAACACCTCCATTCTCTGCCATTAGACGTACCCTAGCAGCTTTATCCAATGCTGAAGAAACGAAATCTTCCGGTGTTTCATGAATGATTTCTTCATGTTCCAGAGTAGACGTATCGTATGATGTTGGGAGTTGATCTAAATGAATTGAATTCCTTTCAAATGGTGATAAGATAGGTGTGGCTTTACCTCCTGGTATATGTTGTAGACGCATGGAATTTTTCATCATGCGTAATTGTGGTTGAGGTCGTTGGGCTTTTTGATCAATCTTGATACCTCCATGTTGACGTTCATCACCAACATTCTGTTCGAGTGAAGTACGAAAATCTGGAATTTGTTGTTGAGGGATTTGAGAAGAGATAGGAGCGTCGGGAGAAAGAAGATGTTCAGGTATACCCCAATCGGACACATCCACCTGTATTTCTTTCTTGTGGACAGACGGGTCTGATGGGTCGGATAATGGTTGATTGGGTTGATCGGCTCGACGAGGGGAGAGAGGGACAGCAGAAGGCCATTGTAATGAAGGTGGTCGATCTATGGGAAG